TGTTATTAAACCAGTCATCAAGGTACTTTTGTCATGAGCACTGTGTCACCCTTCAATCTGTGCAACAACATTAAAAAAGCAATATTGAGGCCTCCCAACTCAACGAAGTTAAGCACAACACTTTAAAATGAAGTTAAATTATGACTGACAAATAATTAGGATGATCTAGGCACTAGAACCAGATGCATTATTAATTTAGTATATTGCTGATATTTCAGCTACTGAACAAATGTTTACAGGCCACAAGAGCACATCTAACTCTCAGAATGCCTATATTCCAGTTTATTTGGCATTGTGTACACTCTGCAGTTCTGATACTGTCTTCGTGTTACTCTGAACAGTTTTGTTTCAGGTATAGAGACTCGGTAACAGCTGGTTTTGCTCCATTACACTAACAAAGTGATAGAATAATGAATCAGATTGCAGTCTATGCTCTATCTACAGTTGGAAGTCTATCTATAGTTGAAAGATATTCCTTTTAGACCTTTATGTTTCCAGAAAAGCTGTGTTCAATTCCACCAGTGTGATTCCAGCTTGCAATCCCAGCTTGCAACTTGCCAGGCTGTCCTGCTGGCCTCACAGCTGACATGGATCTGCCCACTTGCAAAACAACAAGCCAACTAGATGAAGTTGATTTACATAGCAGTGTTTCCACTATAAATATAATTTCACTATATATATAGCCAGGGAAGATATAGAATAAGAAACAAAATTGCCTATTCAGTGCAGTTCTGAATTATTAATCTGACAGGAAACCCGAGTTTATTTGTAGCTGTTGCAAAAACTTTTTTGCCTTTCTCTGTAAATTATGCATTACCCGTTTTGGCAGTACTGTCCAAGAGACTTGCTTCACTAACAGCTGTAAATCACTTGTACAAGACTTTCCAGGGGAGAAGAATAATCATGGTATCTTAGAAAGGTAAAGTTTTCTTACTGCCCAGAGTTCCAATGCATTTATTGTACACTGTTACAAAGAATCGCATCTAATGAGACGGGTAATCCTGGCTGTTCCACAGCCTTTCCCTGCTGCCTGCTTATTTAGGATTTTTTTTTTTTGTATTTTGTCAATTCCACCCACAAAATAGCAGACTCTGAGTGATTTTTGTAGAACAGCTAGGAAGGCAAGGAATACTTGTATTTTGCAGTCAACAAAAATGCTAGGCAAAACAGAATTCCTCCCCTGCCCCAATACACAGCAACTCCCGAAACTATTGCTGGAATTCTCAAGAGTTCCCAAAATGGGCACAAGTGGACAAGGATGAGATGACAGGGGGTTGGAGCACCTCCCATATGAAGACAAGCTGAGAAAGTTGGGGCTGTTCAGCCTGGAGAAGAGAAGCTGCATGGAGACTTCATAGCAGCCTTCCAGTATCTGAAGAGGGCCTACAAGGATGCCAGAGAGGGACTCTTCATCAGGGACTGTAGCAATAGGACAAGGGGTAATGGGTTTAAACTTAAACAGGGGAAGTTCAGGTTAGATATATGGAAGAAGATCTTTACTGTGAGGGTGGTAAGGTACTGAAGCAGGTTGCTCCATCCCTGGCAGTGTGAAAGGCCAGGCTGGGCAGAGCCTTGGGCAGCATGGTCTACTGAAAGGTGCCCCTGCCCATGGCAGGGAGGGTGGAACTTGATGATCTTGGAATCCTTTCCAACCCTCACCATTCTATGATTCTATGCAACTGTCGCCTTTCTCACTCAGCCACCCATGAGGTGGACCAAGCCTGCTGATTTGAACTAGCACTGACTATTCATCTTGTTCAGGGTCACATAAAGATACAGTTAAGTCCTGCTGATGCTCACATAAATCCTCTAATTTTTAGTGCTAAAGGAAATAATTGCCCCCCCTTGCTGCAAATCAATTAGCTTAATAGCAGCTCTACTCACTGTAACTTGGGAGAGGTAAAAATTAGAGGAAAATACTACTTAGGACTAAATGCATACAAAGATTACAATTATTTTAAGATCAATCAGACGCAGGGCCTAAAACATTAACAGTCTTCCCTCTTGATAAGTACTGCTGTAATCATATGGAGAACACACAGCTGGCTACACATTAGTTTCATTGTTGGGCTATCAACCATTTGAAGGCTTTCACCAAACTTCTCTTCACAGGGCATTTTCCCTTTTCTTTAGATTTGTAGACATGTAGTAATTTGTAAAGAAGTGTGTGAATTGCAATTACTATATTCTGTTCTGTTTGTTTTTCTTGGGGGCAGAAAAAGTATAGAATGTTTTCATGAACTGTTTCTTTCCTTTATACATTGACCTTGTAAGATAGCAAAGCTCCTGATCTGTATCTTCAGTAGTTCAAAGCATATTTTAGGACTGGGCTATATGCGCTTTCTACAGAGTTAAACTGAGACAACTTAACTGGTGCTACTGGAAAAGAAGCAACATGCAACATTGTTTTAGACCACATCTCTCAAATTACATTCTTATATAAAGAAAAGTTTGGTATACTAAATTATTTGGATTTTAGAATCAAAATATACCTTCAATATCATAATTTAAAAACTAAATCACACAGATTAACAAATTGTAATAAACTTTAGGAATAAAATCTAAGAAACTGGTTGAAAGCAGATGAGATTTCATATTGTTGATCTGCTTCACTAATTCTATTATTGAAACTTTACACTTAGAAAAACAGCAAGTTTTCCACAGTAAAACAAAATAAAACTAGTAGACCTATCCTGTGTTTAGCTTGTTTATCTAGTGCAGCATGCTGCATACAGAAGCAGATGGCATCAGAGATATGTAAGAAAATAGTACAGGATACTCTACTGCTGGGAGAGGTGTAAAAAAATGCCCTTTGAAAGTCTTCCCTGTTTTCAAGGGTTAAATAAAGCATAAGCCTAGATGGAATCCCTCTCTTATCAACTACCACAGGCTAGAAAATCCAACCAAATTCAATTCTGTATTTCAAATTTTCATAAGTTCTTGGTGTCAAAAACATTACCTTGAAACAACATCTTGACATAATTCTCATTAAAATGCTCATCCTCATTTAACTGTCTATCCTCTGGTTTTCTGTTTTGAGACACCTAACCAAAATTTACTGTCTAGGTTCTTCATGCAATTTCAAAGCTGTTTCCATTTTTCATCTCTTTTCAAATACAATCAATCTTGATCATATTGATTTCTCTTCAAATTGGAGTCTTTCCAAGTCCTTCGTAGTCCTGTTCAGTCAACTGCTTTCAGTTTTGCATGTAAGATTGAGTCTATGGAGCATTCTAGATGAAATTGTACCATGGATTTCCACAACTTTATTATACAACTCTCTGCATTATTTGCAACTCTATTCCTTCCACAGTGTGTCAATGCCTTAAAGAATAAGGGACATCGATATACCTATGTATTATCCATTTTGGGAAACTAAATATCTATGAAGTTATAGTTGAGAATATTACTTAGCTGACATTGTAATCATTCCTAGGTAGTGTTTTGGGGATATCACAGTTCTCAGAATTAGGTGATCATACGCACAAATGCAAACGCACAAATCAAAGACTAATTGTAATATACAAAAATACATTACTGCACTCACATTCAGAAGTGTAAGGCAGGCATGATCAAACTTATTAACCAATAACTACGATTGTTTCACTGCTTATCTTGTCTTTCCCTCCACCACCCAATTCTTTCAATTTGAAAGTTTATGCCTTGACCAACCATACTAAATTTTGCTTTCTCGCTACTGTGTAAAATGGTAAAACACTTTTTGGCTAAGTTGTGGCTGTGTCTCAATATGGAATACAGTTGGAATTGACTCAAAATGTTACTCTGCGTCTTCCTCTAAAGTCTCATTAGTTAAGCTGCTAGTTAAAATCCATATATTGCCAAAACTGTTATGGTACCAATACCCTCCATTCAAGGAATTTTCCAGGTCTCCCCTCTGTTAACATTTTGTGCCTGAATTGGTATCTAGCACTGAAGTTCGGACTGGGACTACTGACATCCTCTAGAAGGCAGACAATATTTGCTGAGGCAGGAAATTTTATTTCCTAATTTTGCTATGTGAACACGAAAAAGGCAAAAAAACACAGTAACTGCTCTCAAAGAACCAAAACTATAGTCTGAAGAAGCTAATGCTGGAAAAACAGACCTGCACATAAAATGCTGAAGTAGTTGACAAAATTTTTTTCTCCTTTGCACTTCCATTAAATTATGAATGATTAAAAAAGGGCACAAAAATATTTAAGCTATTATTCCAAAGGATTTCAGTGGAAATATTTTTTGTTGCCTTTGGTATTCCTAGTGATTTGGAATCCTAGTGATTACATTTGTATAAAATGGGTAAATTTATTTATATGTTTCATTTGGACTTCAGATGAAAACATCCCCTAAAAGCCTGTCGTAAAAGACAGTTTTGATGCCATGGACCTAATCCCGTGCCATTTTGGAGTACTATACAGTTCTCTTCTATCAGTAATTCTATAGTTTCATATCCTCATTTGTTGTTTATTCTTCTATTAAAGACAAATGAAAGGTTAATTAGATATATTAACCATGTGGTCCATTTATTTGCATCCTTTTTTTGAAACTATTCTGAATCAGCCCTTGAAATTCTCAAAACAATTAACCACATCACTCCTTGCTTGCAACTTTCTCAAATGAATGTTCCCAACATTTCTGAGTATAAACCTGGCAGAAAAGGAGAACGAACTTCACCTGAGGTGCTCATCTCATAGTAATGTCAGTCCTTAACACCTGAATTCTTATCTCAGGGTTCTTATTTTATTCAAAAGTAGAGAGCAACATGAACGGCTGCTGCTACTACTGCATTACTGACAAAAAAGTCAAAAAAAGTAGAAATCAGCCTTGTATAACTGACAGAATATATATAAAATTAGACCTGGAGTTAATTAACTGAAAAAGCAGAAGAGCTCACTGCAACAAATCATCACTATTTGGGGGACCCAGTAGATTAGCCTTGAAGCATTCAGTAATTTCTCCTTTCATTATTATTAAAAAAACATTTTAAATTACACTGTACTTACTGGATTGAGAACCACTGTGAAGAACAACTCTCCTCCTTGAATACTTTTGTCTAGTTCCTTTGGGCCTCCAGGATACTCTTTATAGAAAATTGTGTGGGTGAATAAGCCACAGGTTTGCCTAGGAAGGACCTGAATTTATGGGGTGGGGGGGAGGGTGAGGATGGAGGGGTGGGGAGTCAAGGTGAAGTCATAAAACAAAAACATTTATACTTTTAATAAGATAATAAATGCCATGTAAGTAAGATATAACAAATTGTTCGTGATAACTGTTGGGTAGATTTGTCATCACAGCTTTGCCAGAAGTTGATCATGATCTAGTTGAATACACTGGCAGATCAATAAATAGCACCTACTGAAAGAAATAACATTTTTATTATCAGTGGAATCATAATATCCAAAACTTCATCACATTTTGTTTGAAACTGGAGATCAATTAGTGAGTTGCAATTCAGCAACCTCCTAAAGCTATTTTGTCTGTAACACCTGATACTAAAACCAAGTATTTGAAGTCTGGTCATCAAAGATTTCCAAAATCTTAAAATAATTTGAAACTTAATCCGAACTACTATCAGTCCATATTGTATTGGTGTTTTGTTGTTGGAGTTTGGCGGTCTTTTTTTGGTTTTTTTTTTTTTGGCTTTGGCATCACCACCAATAATAATTCTACAGTGATGCATGATGAATTTTGCGGATAACTCTCACATAATAAATGTGTTTCTTATTCAACTGTGCTAAGTTTTGTATGGCCAGTTGCAATATAAAGTAACATAAACTAAAATATTTTTTAAAGTATGCAAAGAACAAGTCTTTTCAATAGGAAGAGCTGATAAATGCAGATAGGTTTTCCAGCAGAACTTAAAAATATTTTCTATCAACTTCAGAAAATAATTTGCTGAAGACTATTTCAACTATGTCTATTTTTCATAGAAAATCAACAGCTAAGTATTGCTGTTCATGTATAATTATCAAACTGGGATTGGTCTCAAACATTCTAGTCCAATTTAAGACATTCAATACATTATAGCTTAATTTTTTAAAGTATAAAATCCTTTACTTGACATAGACTGTAGTTTTGTAGATGCTCTTTATTTCTTGTAGTTTAATTTCTCAACGTCTTTTTTGTGATGTACAGTATACTGTGACCATAGATCATGAATTCTGCACTGTTACAAAATGGATGGAATTTGTACATTTGCAAATACTTTGTACAACTTGCAAATACTTTAAAACCCTTGGATTTCACTGATGAAGCATGAGAACAATTCTTCACAGAGACAGAGTATGAAGCTGTACTGAATGTGAAATGCTCTGGGAAATCTTACACAACAATTTTACTGAATTTATACTGAATATATTCATCACTATAAGCCTGAACATGTAAAATATTAATGCATTTGCCCTGGAGAACTGGAAGCTTCAGATTCCCAAACCAGGTGGTTTTATATGGCTGTGCTTAGAAATTGATTTTTTGTCCTGGTGTCCTTGTATTAAATCTCATTATGAGTCTTCAAATTACATGTTTTTACAAAAATTTATGAAAGGTATTTTGGGGCATTCTGAGTCCATCAGTTGTCTTCAAATGCTTTACAACTCTGAGCATATCCACAAACCCACTGTTTTACATGCAGCTATTGCTGTAGCTCAAATCTGTATGTGTCAATTTTTTTTGTGGCTGTCTGGAGGTCATGTTAGTTTGCTTCATCCAAAAACTGAATATTACTGTTTTGCTTAGAAAAGAGGTATCCCTGGTAACTTGAGGACAAGACCACAATTCTATTATAAGCCAAGTGGCAGTCTTGCACTAAGATACTTGACCCTCCAAAACTGCTTGGTGCAGGCAGAGGTGTAACACAGTACGCACACTAGGATCTTTCCCATTCACCCCTCTCCCCTCAGACTCCAAAAGAAAGTCGCTCAAGAACGTACCATCCAGTATTTTGGAAAGTTGTTTTGAAACACTTTCTCAGACAAGAATGACAATATGTGAATCAGAAATAGCCTACGCCCCGGTGACCAGATGGCATTGGCATAACACCTTCCACAGTTGTGCACAACCCCTTTTGGCAAATGTTGCTGTCAATGAACAACGCTCCGTACAAATACAGAAGAATTGTTTCACTTGACTTGTGGCTACCTCAGCAAGGCAGCTTCATAGCCTGGAGGGGGGTGTGGTGCATGTGTGCCTGCTTTCCTTCAGCCTTCTCAGTGTTTGCCCCGCATCCAGACTGAACACCTGGGCCCAAAGGATAGCTGTGAGGTTAAGCCACACTGCAAAGCACAGTTTGTATTTCTGCATGGCAGGAAGCAAAAGAAGGACAACTGTGGAATGTTCAATGCAAGAAAAAAATATTTCTGCACCAAAATCAAGGTTCTCAGATGGCACAAACTTGCAAAACTCTTCTGCAGTTAATGGTACTATGCAAATTTAAAACCTGCTAGAAATTCAACCCATAGTATTTTGTTAAAAGATGGAAAGTTGACTATTTCTTCGAGATGTCTGAACATGTATTAACAGTAAGACCAGAAGAGTTAGCAGCCTATTTACTGTTAACAGCGGGATGCCTGGAGGCCACTTCATCAGTAGTAACATCATCAGCAACAGACTGATTTTAATCAAAAAGATACTGTGAAATATACTTTGCCACTTATGCATAGCAATATGTGCTTCTCATGACGTGAACTTTCAGGATACCATGCTTGTCCACTTAGAAACAAGTTCTTCATAAAATGATAGAGTGGTGGTAATATGAACATCATAAATACAACTCACCATGATATTTTTGTGGATGAAGCCTCGCCTATACCGTGCAGGCTTCAGGTGTGGGTATTCTTCTGTGCTGGTAACTCTGATATTCCAGACCTTTTTCCAGGCATCATAGAGTTGAACATGTACTGGGTAGACTCCAGAATGGTGTGGAGCCACTGCATAGCCCAAATCAGTTGGAATACCATGTTCCTAAAACATAGCAGAGCAATCACTGATTTAAAAAATGTAAGAAACTTCATGTTATAGCATTTCTTGAATCCTTTGTTTGTGAGAGATCAAGGTCTGAAATGCAAATAATGGTGATATCAAAATAAGCTGATATGTAAGGGAGATGGAAGGCAGCATGGTAAGATGAAACACAGGATTTTAATACAAAAGCCTTTTTAGCAAATATTTTTGAGTATGTAAGGAAAAATAATACAGATGTAGTTTATGCTGATTTCCTCAATTTATATGAAACAGAAAGCAGCACTCCTTCAAGTTCTTGCAAGGAATTTACTCACAAACTAAAAAGAATTCAGTGAGAAAATTACTGGCACATATTCAACACAACAGGTGGCATCCAGCAGTTACACCTACAAAAGTGTGATTTCCATTACACAGTTACTTGAATTGTTAGCTTAATTTCATAGAAAGTCACTGCATTTCCTCTCCAGTCCACTCAAAACATAAAACTATATTCAAAACCACTCTACCCATGTTAATGTCATTTTAAAAAAGGAGAAAAGATAACCACTTGTAAAATTCTGAGGATAACAGGCAGATGCTGTAGGCAGGCACCCCCTTTTGTAGTACGCTATTTTTCACACTCCTGCAGTCATCTAGGTTCTACACCTGGGTTGGAGCAATCCCAGGCACAGCTACAGGTTGGGCAGAGAAGAGATTCAGAGCAGCCCTGCAGAGAAGGACTTGGGGGTGCTGGTCGATGAGAAAATGAGCATGAGCCGGCTTCAGTGTGCACTTGCAGCCCAGAAAGCCAACCGTATCCTGGGCTGCATCAAAAGGAGCGTGACCAACAGGGTGAAGGAGGTGATCCTGCCCCTTTATTCTGCTCTCGTGAGACCTCACTTGGAGTATTGAGTGCAGTTCTGGTGTCCTCAACATAAAAAAGGACATGAACTGTTGGAACAAGTCCAGAGGAGGGCCACGAAAATGATCAGGGGACTGGAGCACCTCCCATATGAAGACAGGCTGAGACAGTTGGGGCTGGTCAGCCTGGAGAAGAGAAGGCTGCCTGGAGACCTCATAGCAGCCTTCCAGTATCTGAAGGGGACCTATAAGGGATGCTGGGGAGGGACTCTTCATTAGGGGCTGTAATGATAGGACAAGGGGTAATAGGTTAAAACTTAAACAGTGGAAGTTTAGGTTGGATATAAGGAGGAAATTCTTCCCTGTTAGGGTGGTGAGGCACTGGAATAGGTTGCCCAGGGAGGCTGTGAATGCTCCATCCCTGGCAGTGTTCAAGGCCAGGCTGGACAAGGCCTTGTGTGATATGGTTTAGTGCGAGGTGTCCCTGCCCATGGCAGGGGGGTTGGAACTGAATGATCTTAAGGTCCTTTCCAACCCTAACTATTCTATGATTCTATGATCTTGTTTACATACAGACCTTGCTAGTATTACATTTTCTTGACACTCAGTGTATTTTCTTTCCAGTTTCTGGTTTCCAATATACTCTAATGAATTTTGACACCTTGTCTCCTTTCTTTCAGGATGCTTTTCAAAAGAACAGTATATATCAGCTATTTCTTTGATAGTCTGATTTGCAGAATACACTGTCCATAAGATGTTGCATTGCAATGATTTAGGAAAACTGCCTTTGCACAATCTCTGAATTCTGTTTAAGAGTTTTTTATATGGATTGTATTTGTATGGTCATTTTCACCATATTTTCTAATCATACTTTCTTTGCGCACAAAGGTAGGAGTTGGTTGATACTCAGGTCTATTCCTTTGTATAAACTAGTTACTAAGGGATATGAAAAACTCTAAGTCTTATCTCAAAGAAAAATGGGTGCGTGACCTTTGGTAAAATCACCTTTCTTCACCTTTTCCGGAGAAGGACTACTGCAGGAAACCTAATGCACATGACTTAAAAAGCTTAGATAGTCAGGATACAGTATCAGACATATCTGTTGCAATTTAAATGTAACAACTTTACTAACAGCTCAAAACAAAACAAACTCACAAAGCAACATTTGCTTCTGCTCTGGAGTAACATGGGAAGTCAGACTTTAAAGATGTGAAACCTGCAAGGGAAGAAGGCTACTTTTTCCTCATTAAAGGGCTACTTGGAACCTAGTGTAATGGTGCGTCCAACAGACAGATATGGTTTAATCACAGTTAAGAACGCTAACTTTTCTGTATCTCAAAACCAACTAGTGACCCTGCTGCACCCAGAGAGCACATCATCTTCTGGGTTACAGCTGAAGCACACTACGTGTAATCTGTCAAAGTAGGAAGGAGTAAGACCTGGCCTATTGGTTTTACTGCATATGGAGATAAAGAATGGATATGACATCAGTTACACAGCTTTACACCACTTTATTCCACCACAGGTTGTCTCAATTCTTTCTTTTATCTTTTCTACTTCCCCTAAGCATGCATAAACATTAGAAAGAAAAATCTTTACAGAACATGGAAGAAGTTGCGTTTTCTAATGTCCTATTTCATCTTCTTCATTTAGCTAGAAACAAATATGGTTTTTAAGGGGTTTTCCCTCACATTTTACAATATGAAGTAATAAATATGTAATAAAAATCTTCCATTCTAATTATGAGCCTATCATCTTGAATGTATTATTGTCTCTGTTATTCCTTACTGACTGTTACTCCCAAGTTAAGCATTTCATACACATTCAGTCTGATAATGCATGAGGCATACACAATTTTAGCCTCTTTCAGAAAAGCATGATACTTATCTTTGTTATTAATTTAAATGCTTTAAGCAAATGAAACATAATGAATAGCTTCATGCCTATACATCTATACATAGCTTCAGGCATAAAAAGCATTTAATGTAAGTATTAAGAACATTAAGAATGGTGAAGAAAAAAAATATTATGACATTACCTAAAACAGGGCTGAATAGGAATTATCCTAATAATATACTTTAATGCTTACATACTGTAGACTAATCCCAGAAGATGTCTTAGGTCATACTAGAACTACAATTTCCAGTGGAGCTTGCAACAGTACACAGAATCATAGAAAAAGGGGATTTTGGACACAGAATTATTAAATTTTAAATTTTTATAACTTCTACTGAAATACTTTCTTTAAAGATAACATTAAAATTGAGCTGGCCTGTATTCAGTACAACTACAGTTTACAGTACTCTTCGGTCGAAAGAAAACACACACCTTACTTGAAGCAAAGTTTTCAAATACAAATTTTAAGTGCTTGATTTTCTATGTCTATACCTTCACCCTACACTCACTGACACGTGACCATAAGCACACTTTATTTTGTTCTGGTATTTCAAATCCCCTTGCTCTTTCAAGGAACAAAGTCATCACCTGTGATGTGAAGAGCAACCAGTGCATTTTGAAAAGTGAAAAGCCAAATTAGCATGATGGAATAGTAGATGTATTTCAGCAAACAAGTTATGTTTGCTGAGATATTCTGACACAACACTTGTTAATGTCTTTACATATGACAATTTCCTCAGGCAAATAATATGTAGTATTGTGTATGACAGTCTGGTTTGGTTTTAATGCATGAAATTAAGTGTAAAGAAAAGGTAAGTCTGTTTCTCTAGTATCCTTAGACCTAAAGGTATGGTTTTATTTTCTTATATTCTCAGTAATACTTTTTTTTTCTGTGAATAAATTATTAGTAAAGCCAATGCTTTTCAAAACAGGTTTTTATAAAGTTGATCCAACGGGAATATATAAGATCTTATCATGTATCACCACAGAAGAGCATCTTTGAAAATACGGCACATATGTCATAACATGGCATGTTAATCCTAACATGCAGTGCTTCCATAAAGTCATTTGACATATTTTGATGGAGTGTTTATTCCTGCATAAAAGTGGATATTTTCTAATCTAAACAACGGCTTATTTTAGAAAAATAATAAAATAAAATTTTTGTCTATATTGACTTTCCAAGATGTGACCATATTAATTCTTCATTCTGAAATAATGTTTCCATTCGTAATTTTTCATAAATAAAAAAAATCCCTAAACTTTACTTGAGAAAGAAATCCGAAATGTGGAGAAACAGAATTTTCATAGCACAAAACAGACTGCAAAAAGCATTCTATCATAATTTCTTATTTTGATTCACTGAGATTAAAACAAATTCTACAAAGGCTGATTTTTCTAACAAAATAGGAATGTTTTCTGAATACCTAAATTCAATATAAAATACAAAACCACAACTCACTAAGGCAAATTTTTTGTTGAGGATCATCTGCTCCACCAGTGATGACTCATTGTAGAAGAGGTGAGGCTGCATGTGACTCCACATATGGGGAAACCACCAAAACTCATCCGCAGATCTCAACAGCAGGTCATCACCTTCATCTTCCTCCTCAGTCCCTGAAAAAGGAAAAAAAAAGAAAAGATAATATCTCTGAAGTGTTTTAAACCCAGCTGGAACCTCAGAACCACATAGCTGCTCACTCACTCCTCCCTCTTCTTCTCTCTCTTTTCCAGAGACGCTCTGTAGGCGCAGGCCAAGCCCCAGCACATTGCTGTAAGTTGTCCATCTCTGGTATTGCCAGGACAACAGCACACCTTGTCTAACTGTTCTGCTAATTTTTCCAGATTTCACACATGTTCAGGGGAGAAATTCCAAAGCACTGGTCCAGGTGCTTGCCCATATGATCCCACACACCCTGTCACTCATGGCTGTCCAGCATTGGGAAAAAAATCTCTCAGTGGTCCTCTCATGTCGTCTTTTAATTTAATTGTGTAATTGCTAAAAATTCCCACTATATGCCTCCCAAAATATAGAGGTGACCACCACACTGAGAACGCATGCCAGACCACTTTCATGATCAATGATTCTATTGTATTACAAGTCATTACCATAAACTACAGTGAAACAAAAGCTTCAGCTCAGGCCCCAAAGCCGATAAACATTAAAACAGCAATTGCTGGCTGCAAGTAAGGTATGACATGCTGAAGCTCTGAGAGCAAGCACAACAACTCTGAGAGCAAAGAAATCAACATTGTGATGAGTGACTATTAATCCGAAACAATGAATGCTTATCACAGATACGATCAGACACACTCTGGTCAGATCTGTTGTTAACTGTTACAGCTGAACAGAGGGACAGCATCCACCCCTTACTGCATACCAGTCACGTTATGCTCAGATCCTTTTTTTTTTTTTCCAATATACCATAACTTTTTGTCTCATACATACACATACGTATACTGTGAAGGAAATTCTTCTCTCTACTCAGACCCCTAAACTCTATTTTCCTCATATTACAAAAAACACCATCAAAACAAAAGCTATTTCAGTCTTACCTGTGTGATAAAATTTCCCTGAAAATCCCAGGTTGAAAGTAAAATTTGTAATCTGAGCTCTCAAAAGATTCTGAGTGTCAAGCAGGGCCTGAAAAAAAAACAAACCAAAAAGGCAACAACCCACCATATGTGTAGGAAACACACCTGGCACAAATTTAATATAACAATATAGATACTTTTACGGGTAAATGTCCTTTCAATTGCTTTAGCTATTTTAAAACAGCTCATTATATACGACAAAGTAGTAACAGATACTTTCATTGTCGTTTAAAGATTAAAAACCACATGCAAACTCCATTGTTTTCCTCATAAAGGTGACCAGCTATTAAATATTGTTTTACTCTTTGAATCAAGAAATGGGAAAACAAAAGCACACTCCAGATAAAAGATCTTCCGCTGATGACTCAGTAAACCTGGTATACAGCCAGGAATGAAATTCAGATCTCTTGTGTCCCCAGCTGCTGCTTCATTCACTAGGATGAACAGGTAGGATGACCTACAATTGTATTTTTTAATTTCAGGTCAAGTACATACATAGCATTTTAGTTACATTTCAGAATCACTGGCAATGAAAAAATTAAAAAATCCAGAAAGCTAGATGAAGCCTACTCCATGTCAAAGAACTTAATCCTAAATTTCCCCAAATTCTGAGTCATTTCTCACACATTTAGCACACTGGCTGTCAGCATACATATACTTGCACCAGATTAGTACAAACATGCATGCAGGAGGAAAGGGGAAAGCTATTATTCATCAAATTCAAGAGTCAGAAAACTCTGATCTCAATATGCTCTTCTTGATTTGTTACTCCCAAGACTTACATATTGCTTCCAAGAGTTATTACCTCCTAAACTCTTACACCCTGCTGCTATTCAGTTTCCCAGATGTAACAAAGAAACCTACCTCTCCAATGCAAAATAAACTTTGCAAAGCCAAACCAAACTGGAGGCGCAAAAAGCATCCTCTAAAATGAGACTTGGAGTGCACCTTTCTCCAGACAACCTGCCTTCAGCTGAGCAATTGATGGCTGGTAATTTATGAACACATTGGACTCTGGAGATTTGTGACACTGAACACAACACATCAGAAGTGCATGGCCAGCTACAGCAAACAGACACACTTGTGCAGATAGTTATGCAGTACCTTTGAAAGAAAATAATTATACACCAAGGTTTTCAAAGTCAACATACATTATAGTACAATGATCACTGTACAAGAAGTGATCAGAAGTATTATTATTGTCAGAAATGACTAACTAGGCATGTTAAGAAAGGGAACGTATTTAAAAGCACAAAGTCATTGGAGATTTTCAGAGGTTTAAAGGTCTAGAAGGTTCCCCACTCCTGAAATTCAATGGCAATTTGGTGTTCTGAAAAATATGAGACAGCAATTTAATTAAGAGTTTCTTTGGATATTTCATTATATGAGTAATTTGTCTACAATTATTTTTTTTTTAACTGGAATGCCAATGAAAACAAAATGTTAGCATGGAAGTCAAGCCCAGCTTTAGATCCAGGCATAGTACAGTCAAGTTACAGTTCTTTAAAATTACCCGTTTTACAGATAGAGGCAATATCCACCTTATCAGAGAAACTTCTGGGCACATGAGCCCTTCTTGAGGTCTTTACCTGGGCTCATCTGTATCAGATGTAATAAAAGTACGATCTCTATCTGCCTGTTTCCTTATAATAAGATACCTACAACATGATGGTGACCAAATCAGGCAAAGAGTGACCGTAGCAGGGGCTCCCCTGTGCACTAACCTCAGGAAAAGCTCAAGGCAGCACACCCAGCAGTGCTTCCATTCCCAGTAAGAGGTGGCCACACACCACAGCTGGTGCATATGTCCCGGTTCTGTGCTTGCCTTTCCCACCACTCCTTTTCCAGAGCTAGGCATTTTTACCTGGCCCCACTGCGAGACTGCAGCGCCAACCAGTGCAGGAATACAGATGCTCTTTGGCCCTCTGCTAATGTGTATCTGAGGCCTCAGCGAGCTAACTAAGCTTGTAGCTAGGGCTGGCTCTGGGAAGCTGGTGCTTGAGGGAGCTGATCTGATGCAATGGGACAGTCATTTGCCCCTATCCTGGGGGACTGCAAATTTGAGTTTTGCTGATAAAACATGAGTGGTTTCAATTCTGAGCCATCAGTAGTACTTGCTTTGTTCAGTATCTCAGTGAACCAGAATGCTATGCCTAAGCATATTCATTAAATATATATTAATCACAAAACTAAATCTGTGAAAGAACCATCATTTTTCTGCCACCTATTTCTTAAGGTCATCTCAGATCTGGAAGCAACTTGTCTTTCCCACTGTCATCTTCTTCACTGTAGCTCCAGCAACAAGAGTACAAGCAGTTTCAAAGCACAGTACTGGTAACATAAAGATCATCTTTCACTGGAAAGCCTGAAAAATGTCCTATGAACAAGGGACTTTCTAAAGGAATGACTAAAATGAAGCACAGAATGGAGATAATTGAAAACAAGCCTGAGACTTCTGAAGGAATTAGGAGAAAAATCTTGCAACACTGTAATGAGGGCTTTTGCACAGGCTGAGTGCAAAGATCACCCAGAAGACTTCTTATTCTAATGAAAGGTATGAAACCAGAGAAGATTATGAAAACCATCCTTCAGCTGCTGGGAACCTATTCAATTAAGTAATTTTTTTATCTTTGCACACTTAAAAACGTAGGAAGCAAATAATATGCCTATACACTTACGTTAACCATATTGTTAATTGGAAGGGATCCTGAGAGCAGCTTGACAGCAAGGTGGCAAGAATGGGCTGCATGGTTCTTGCCCTCCTAATTAAGTCAAGAAGTGTGAGCATTTTTTGAGCTGAAGGTCTTCTCCTGTACCTAACACATTCTCAGCTTGCCAGCTCCAGTCTAGTTTCAGTGTGATGGAAAACCAAAGAGCAGCTGAAACCAGAGAAACAACCTGGAAGGCTATCTTCACTGCATCTCCCTAGCATACTGCAGCTACAGGGCTGACTGGAGAGTTGCCAACCCAGGCTTTCAAATGGAAGGTGGGAAAAGGGTTGCAAAAAGTCCATAATGCAATATGAGAGTTTACTTCTTTGCTGGGATCTAGTTTTGCTAGTGCAGTTACCTCCTTATTGCCTCAGTGACACACCTGGTGGCTGCATTTTATTCAAACCAGCAGTCACAAGATGACACACCAAATTATACCTAAATAACACAAAACTCTAAACGAAATCTGAAGATCACCTTCTACAGAACAAATTTTGAAAGCAATGCTACTGTTTTTCTTGGCCACATTACTTTCATTAAAATCAACAGGAGATCTTCTGGTAAAGTATGTGGTGGTATGTGAAAACCTACTGGCTAATATCAACAGTGTACCTGATCAATCTCCACAGAGGGAGAGAACAGGCCTGCTGTGAACCAGTTTTTGTACAGACAAGCTGAGATAACATTTGAGTTGTCATGTCTATGATTATTCTCTGGGTGACTTGACATTTTACTCATCATTCAGGTTCTAAAAACAAAATGCTAAAACTCACGCAAAATATACAGAAGCAGATGGCAGGGCCTATTACTGTGAGTTTCTATCATAAAGACAGAAGCAGAGAAAAGTAGGGGGACAAAAAGCCTGAAATTTCATTTCTAAATGCTGCTTGATACGCTGAAGATAAGCTGGTGATATTTTCTGAGTATTTTATGATTGGTTTATGAACAAACCCCTCTGGATATTTGTATGAAATGTTATGTATATACATTAATACTGAAGATTAAATTTTAAAAACTTTACTAAAGCCTTCATATGCTTATAGATAATTATTTAGTACATGTCAGACTTCCACTGATACTATAAAGAAAATAAATTGCTGGGTGCCTAATCGCTTTCATGTACACAGCTACAGAGGAGTAAGTACTTTTCAACTCTTCTTAAGCTCACATACTACGTTTAGCAAATTCCTTGTGCCAGAAATCAAATGTGAGAATTCAGCATATGATGAAAAGCCTCTTTTTTCACCAATAGTCCAAAATAATCTCTGAATCATAGAATAGTTAGGGTTGGAAAGGACCTTAAGATCATCCAGTTCCAACCCCCCTGCCATGGGCAGGGACACCTTACACTAAACCATATCGCCCAAGTCCTCGGCCAACCTGGCCTTGAACACTGCCAGGGATGGAGCAGTCACAACTTCCCTGGACAACCTATTCCAGTGCCTCACCACCCTCACAGTAAAGAATTTCCTCCTTATATCTAATCTAAACTTCCCCTGTTTAAGTTTTAACCCGTTACCCCTTGTCCTATCACTGCAGTCCCTAATGAAGAGTCCCTCCCCAGCATCCTTGTAGGCCTCCTTCAGATACTGAAAGGCTGCTATGAGGTCTCCAGGCAGCCTTCTCTTCTCCAGGCTGAACAGCCCCAACTTTCTCAGCCTGTCTTCATACAGAAAAGGGCCTTGTTACAATCCAGGCAATAGACAAAAGTTATTCTGACAGCAAAACAAGACTTCTTTCAATCTTTCCATCTGACAAGTTTTACTATAATGAAAGAAATGTAAGAAATCATGTATGTTGTAAATAAAGCTTAATTCTCAGACAATTAGCACCATGCCATTTAAGTTATTTCTGTTCCACTTCTAAATAAACATCTCAGCAAGTGTAAGCTGCTGTAATTGCCAGTGGTATCTCAACTGACTGAGAACTTAGGAGAAAATGGACTCTGAGATGACAAATATAACAGAAGGAACCACGAGAATTATTTCTTAATTGGAATAGCCATGCAATGGAAGCGTATGAAAATTCCTGCCTTTGTAAAGATGGCATCTTCCTTTCTTGACAATCATAATGTTTAGCTCTTTTAAACACTTTTCTTTCAGAAATATAATGTCAATTTACAAAGAAAACAGGTCTTTTTGATTTTTCTTACCTTACAGATGGGACAGAGGCACAGACCAATGACATGGGCTGTCAAGAGCTTCTACTCAAGTAAATCAGCAGTAAAAGCCAAGGGTAAAACTCTCATCAGCAAACTTGCTTTCCATTTCCCTATCCAGGAAACTGTCCTGCCTACTGTCCTCAGGCATCTCTTTACATTATTTTGTTTCATAGTCTG